GTCTGGTTTGATTCAAAGTGCACTTGGAATGCCCATATTACGTATTTGAAGCAAAAATGTCAGCAGAGGATCAACTTTCTCCGTTCAATTTGCGGCACATGGTGGGGTGCTCATCCGGGAGACCTCATAACGCTTTATAAAACAACTATTCTCTCTGTTCTAGAGTACGGCTCTTTCTGCTTTCTCTCGGCAAGAAAAAGTCACCTAATAAAATTGGAACGAATTCAATATCGTTGTCTGCGTATTGCTCTAGGCTGTATGCACTCAACGCATAACATGATTCTCGAGGTTCTGGCAGGAGTAACACCCCTCCAGAACCGTTTCTGGGAGCTCTCTCTCAGAATACTAATCAAATGCGGAGTGACGAACACACTTATAATTGCTAATTTTGAAGAAATTCTTGGGCTGAACACACAATCTCGATTTATGAGAATCTACCACCACTACATATCATCAGATATGTGTCTTCCTTGTTATACTCCAGACCGTGTTCACTTCACCAATCGCAGTTCCTCAATTGAATATGATCTGACCATGAAACAAGCAACTCATGGGATTCCCGATCAACTTCGACCTATTATTATTCCGCGTATTTTTACTGAAAAGTACCAACAAGTCAATTGCATGAAAAGATATTTTACAGACGGGTCCCGTCTCAATGGATCCACTGGCTTCGGTGTCTTCAATGAAAACTCTAGCGCCTTCCGCAAACTTCAGGAACCTTGTTCCGTTTTTGTTGCTGAGCTGGCAGCAATCAACTTCGCATTGGGGATGATTTCCAATATGCCCACAGACCATTACTTCATCTTCTCGGATAGTCTCAGTTCGATTGAGGCTATTCGGTCGATGAAACAAGGTAGGCACTCATCTTATTTCCTTTCAAAGGTAAGGGAGCAGATGTGTGTGCTGGTCGAAAGATCATATATGATTACCTTTGTATGGGTCCCCTCACATTGCTCAATCCCAGGCAATGAGAAGGCGGACTCTCTCGCAAAGGTGGGCGCGCAGGAAGGCGAATTGTATGACAGGCAAATTTCACACGATGAATTTTACCATTTAGTGCGTCAGAGTACCTTTTCGAGTTGGCAAACCGATTGGGACACTGGAAATCTTGGACGGTGGTTACATTCAATTATTCCTAATGTTTCTTCGAGAGCGTGGTTTAAAGGCTTGGGCTTAAGTCGTGACTTCATTCGCGTGATGAGTAGACTTATGTCCAACCACTACTCGCTAGATGCTCATCTCAATAGAATAAACCTCGTGGACAGCAACATCTGTCGGTGTGGAAACGGTTACGATGACATCGAACACGCAGTTTGGCAATGTACGGATAATGACGCCGCCAGAGAGCGACTTTTGAATACCCTCGAGGCCCAAGGAAGACAACCCTATGTTCCTATCAGAGACGTGTTGGCAACCCGTGATCTCTGCTATATGCAGTCCGTTTATGTTTTTCTTCAAATGTCTAGTATAAGAATTTAATTCCTTTTGTCTTTTGTCTCTCTTTATTAGTTTTTGTTTGTCTTGTCCCCCCGTCTCGATGAGTCTCATCGTCGCCCACTGGTCACCCACCATAGCCGGTCGAACTCCGGACGAAGCTAGAACAGCACTACCGTTCATACTGGCGACAACGCTCTGATGAGACAACGAAACCCTACCCCAAGCTCCTCCCCTGATCCTATCCTTCGAAAATGTACCCTTCTAACCTCGAGTAAGCCGCGAGTAATCGGCCCAACTCCTACTAGACATAGAATTAAGTGAATTTTGTTACACACAGTGAACAATGAATTATCGGCTCCGTAAAGCTAACGCGATTGAGCCTCCCAAATAAACGAACTAGATAAAAAAAAACATAGTGTAGTACTAGAATTTCGACTAGAATGGGGTACGTTAATCGTTTGCTTGGGACCGATAGGCTAGTCAAGTAGTGAGCCAATTTAAAATCGTTAGTTTCCACTGGTTGGTATTACTCTCTTTGTATTTGTTGGTTTCCTATAGATTTCGAAATTGACCGAAGACGTTTTCCTGATGATGAGAATATCTAAGAAGGGGAGTTTGCCGTCTCTCTCTTCTTCGTGAGTAGATTTGATGTCCTTGTGAACGTTGCTTATGGCCTCCAAAGTTTTTGATGAATCTTCCCTTTTGATTTAGCATTGTCATCCACGTACCTATACCGACACTTGGGCAACAAATTCCTATCCTCCAAAGTATTTTCTAGGCTAGCCATGAACAATTCACATAAAAATGGAGAAAGCGGATTGCCCATAGTTTGTTTATAACAATTTCCTCTGAAAATGAAATAATTTTCCTCCATACAAAGACGAGTAAGCTTGAGATATGACCGAACATTGTTTTTCCAAGTGGAATCCTCACGTTGCTTCAGAAGCCAGTCCTCTATAAGGATGATGGCTTCCTTTCCAGGTACACTCGGAAAAAGTGCTGTGGCATCAAATGAAACCATGTACCGAATCTCTCCTGATGCCTGAAGTTGATTGGCGAATTCCTGTGTGCTGTTAACTGAGCGAGTGGTTTAGGCATATTTTGAAATTTCGTTACTAGCCATTTGGCAAGCTCATGAGTGGGGGATCCTTCAGCAGAGATAATCACCCTCATTTCGTTTCCTGGTTTGTGAATCTTTGGTAAACCTTTGATCCTAGGTAGAATAGGGTTTGAACCTTTCAATTGATTCGTGTTGCCAATAAACGCCTTGCATAAACAACTCATAATTTAAGTGACCTTATATTAAGGATTATTGATTATTCCCGGTTCTCCCATCAAATTGCCGGGTGTAGCACACTGCCTAGCTTGCACAGGTGAAAGCCAACCATGGCCGGTAAAGTTCTTTCGTTCTGAAGGAAACGTTTTTTTTTTAGACTCGATCAAGACTGGTGTTTTTAGCTTTGGATACTATTTATATATGATATACAACTGTGTTTAAACTATTACTAAAATAATCTTCTCTTTGGACTACCTTTGCATGGTACTCGTTAAGCAGGAAAGTGCTTACGTCTTCGAAGGTATAAAGAATATATTTATTTATCTAGATGTACAATAATTGTATGAATATATTGTATCAGTAACATTGTTACCTGATTTTAACAACTGTTTACCATCTTGTAAATCACGTAAAAAAGTATAAGTCCAACTGACATATAGCTTTTGTATATTTTACTGGTCACATACGTTTACTGATTTCCAGCCCTTCAAACCAAGCCAGTAAAAATTTAACACATTTTGCTGGAAATTATTCAAGAATTAAAATTGCTGGGCGGCCAAGTCAAAATTTTGTGTGTAGTAAGGACTGTTCATTAATGAAAGTAGACACATGTTTCTCAAAGGAAAATATTTATTTTCGAACGAATTCATAGGTTTACTTTATAAAAATGAAAATCAACATACATATGACCGATTTCACGTGAGTTTGAATGTTGACTTCTCATTTTTGAAGGACGCTCGGACTTCCATCTTTCTCAAGATGCCATTTAATTATTGCCCAGTATCTTTCGATAGGACGCAGCTCAGGGCAGTTTGGGGGATTTTGGAATTTTGAGCATAGTGAGCAGATGTCAGATCCGGTCAAAACAATCGAGGATCTGTATGCTTTCGGTAGATGGGTAGAAGCCGTTTATGTGATGCATTCTTTTCTATAATTTTCACCATTGATTGTGCCCGTTGTGAAATACGAAGAATTCTTCAAGCAAATGGTTTGCCACAGCAAAACCTTTTTTTTTCTCCAAAAAGTGTGAGTATCAAAATCGCTAAAAACCCATCTACATAGTTTATGGACAGCCCTTTATGACTTCTCTGTTCGTCATGTCACAAAAGTTTAGGAGATTCCAGAAAGTTCACTTTGTGCGAAAAATTAAGTTGGTATTGAGTGCAGCTCTCGATGGAAGCGACCAGGAAGGTCAACAGTTTTGACTACTCAGTTTCCCAGCAGCTTGCTGCAAGTATTGGACGGTAATTTGATTTTTTTACATTAATTTTTATTTATGATTATATCTGAATAGAGCTGGAATTAGGTCGTAACAGCTTTTGTAAACAATGACTTCTTTCGATGATTTCTAGGAACTCAAGGCACGCCCACGTGAAGCAACATAGAAGACATCCCGACACCCGACGGTGATGTTGATTTGCGTTGGCGAGCCTTGACTTTCTAGAAATCATCGAAAGAAATCATTGTTTACAACAGCTGTGACGCCCTAATTCCAGCTCTATCTAGATATGTAGCTAACAGTTCTTAATATTTTGCCAGCCATAAAGGACTCATAAACAATTCTACGTGATAATCTCGCTCAAATAATCAAGCAGTTAATAATTTGCAATGTTATGAGCAGTCTTGCAGGGAGGCTCAATGAATGAGATTTGGTTAATGATTTTCTGAACACTTGATTTCAATATCAATTAAAACACGTGTAATTTATATCTGCTCGATCAAATTGCATAATATTGACTGCTTCTATATATACGTTCCATTGTTTTCATTCAAAATGCACGTACAAATAACGTGAAAAGCATTTTAAGCAAAACGGAATGTAACGTAGTAGTCAGCAGTTTTTCAGTAGTTTTCACCCCAATTTCATGTAAATAGAACGTGAACATCACTGCCACTATTCGCATAACAGTCCCATGTCCTATGGATTTCCTATCTACATAGGACTGTTATGCGAATAGCGGCAGATCAGGTCTTATTTACCTGACTAATCACATAGATAATTGAAGCTGAATTTTGCTCGGCCACGTGTCAAACTGGTAAAATTTACGTGAAAAATAGGGAGGTTGAAAACCACCTATGTTTTCACGTAAATCGGACGTAAAGATTTTTCAGACTGTATGGCCAACACCGTTGCGTCCCGGAGTAGATGCATGTTGCGTTGAGATGCGAGTTGATGTTGTAGTGTGTTCGGCAAAAATAGCTTATTCAGCTCTCAAGTGTACGGGACTGGTCATCATCAACCGAAGAAATATCTACAACATTATCTCACATTTGCCATAAATTTATTCAGTCAGATCGATAAGTTGTTGGTTTTGGTTGTTCAATAGGTAATGTAGTTTTTTGCCAAACATGGCATTTTATCCACTTCTTTCGAGCAATTTGAAATGGCTTTCAAGATTCTTCAAGATGCAATGCTATACGATTTCATTACAAATCAACCCAAAACTGCTCGAAGACGTTTGAAGCCAGTTTTGTTCAAGCTTAATCTATTAAAGCAATCCTACTGGATGCTGTTGTATCGTTGTAGTGTTTTTTTTTTGCATTTAAAACCAAATGTGTAGCATAATAAATAATTTCCTTCTCGGTTGCTGAATAAATTATTGCTTGCTTTCTTCCCTTTTTGCAGGACACCTAAGATTAGCACTTCTACCGGACACTTATACTGTTGTTAGTAACTATGCATTAGGAAACAAATTTTCTTTGCCAGGACTTGATAAGCATAAGAAGCAGCCGGACCAGTCGAACTACTTATTATCAACAGGACCGTTTTATTTCGGGAAGTGGTTGTATGTTTGCTATGTGATGATCCTGCACTAGAGTAGAAATTATAGAAATCTAAACTCACCTGGAGTTGAAGCTGTTTTAGTTGTTTGAATTGAATTGTCCTCTACAGCAATCCTTCCAGCGGAGGCAGAACTTCATACATTGCATACTTCCAGGTCCACCGCCTCGCGAGGGCTTCAAATTTGAGTCGGTCATTTTCGTACATTCTGCCAAGCTCGGGCTCCATACAAATCTGTTTTGAGAAAACATTCACTCCTTTCAAAACTCAACATTCCGGGAACAAAACCCATTCCAATACCAACCTGCGTGAAAGGATCCGTCAGCAAACTCTGCACCGAAAGCAGTAGCTTCGAAATGGTCAATGCCAGCGACCAGTTGTGCTGGATGATGTCGATTCCAACGTCTCCGTGACGGGAAACGTTCGGATGGACAATCTTCGTTAGGAATCGAACTTGCGGCGGGAGCATTGGGTACGAACATGGAACTACAATGTAAAGAAAAAATTTCCCACCCTCGTAGGGACTGCCGGCGGGTCCCAGAATCGACGCTTGCCAGTGAAAGAGCTGGTTATCGAGAGCAACGGCATCGATGCCCTCGGTTGCATCCAAATCCAGCGATCGGATGTCGCTTCGCAATCGATTCGCCCGAATGTGATTGACCCGACCGCGCATCGGAGTCTTTAGAGCCATTTGGACGAGACATGTCCGGCAGAAGCAGGAATTCATCAGTGCGCCGTACATCTACAAATGATCAATATAATATTTTCCAACAGCCGAGGCAAAGTAAACTTACGTGCAACCAGTTGGGAATGGTCGAAATCTGCTGGAACAGGGGCCACCTTTCCTTCGTATACTTTTTCCACATTTGCTGTGGGGTGTGAACTTCCAAAATCCTCTTCCATTGTTTGCAAACTTCGCTTACGTTCCACAGGGACAAGTCATCCAGATGGGAGAATATCGACAACAGCACTTCCACTGGCAGTGAGCATATCTTCTGCTGGGATTCATCCGAATCCCGTGGTTGTGACAGCATATCCAAGTACTGGTTAAGATTGCGCGGAGCAGAGGGCCGCGGCCTTTCCAGATCGTAGTCTGAATCATCATCGTCGTCGGCACGATCCTTGGCTCCGTTCTCCGGTGGTTCATCGTTGCCAGAATCTTCATCGTCGGAAAGCTTCGTTACCAATCCTTCGGCTTCTTCGTTCGGGTGGTTTGGGAAAATAAACGAATGGCACGTACCGCACAATGGTTCTCCATAGCTCGGACCATAGTATCCGTTACAGATCCAGCAGGAAGAGGAGTTCTGTCGGGAAAATATATCACGATAAACAGACCTTCCCCAGAATCCATAATGCAGACACTTACCGAAAACTCGAAACTTTTACAAAAATCCTCGTACTCAACGTCGTAGTACAGCTCTTCCTCGTATTTGGATGTAAAAGATTTGCTACATCCTGCTGCCATTGTATTAAAAATGACTGGAAAATAAAAAGAATTTTTCGAAAACTGTTGTGCGTTTTTTTTTTTTTGGTGGAGTGAAAAATGTATGTAAACAAAGCAGATGCAATTTTTATCACTTTGACGGTCCGTGCTTGTAGAACCCACCACGAGAGTCACAACGAGGTGATCCAGGGGTTCGCTGATGGTGCTGTTGGAGTAACCACGGGGTACACGGAACCGAAAACATACTTCGAATAATCTAAATCAACATTAAACAATGGATTAATGTTTCCCCAATAAATTTGTTATGGTTATTTTCCTTAACAGCGTGTTTGGGGTATCATCCAAACCATTTGTGGAAAAGTTAGACTATTTGGGTTATTGTTCGTTTATGATATTTTTTATTAGGTTAGCTCGTAGTTTTAATCTCACCTCTTCCGAAAACGTGGAACCACCTTCCCATAGGCCATAGAAAACTGTAAACATTGTTATTGATACTTGATATTCATTTTGCATAAAATAAAAAAAAAAAACGTCGTACAAAGGCTTGAGCGTTCTCACGGGGAGCCAGATTCCTAAATAAAAAATTACCATCAATGAACGATAACCCAAATGATTGAACTATTCCACAAATGGTTTGGATGATATATCTCGAACACGTCGTTAAGCAAATTAACCATACCATTTTTATTAGGGCTCTTATTGCAAAAACTACACACAGAGTTTAGATTACCGAATTCGGTAAAGTTTTACTGGGTTTTCAAACAGCTGCATTTTCTACACGAAACGAAAATCAATTATTTTATTCATTTGTTTCACTTTTAAATTTTTGCCAACATATCAGCCTCATACATTCCATAAGACAAACCATATGGGTCCTACAAGAATGCATAAAAGGTATGTGTGACCAATTATACATTTCATTTGACGCATGATCTTTATTAACTTTTTGCAAGGTGTCTGCTTATTAGAAAGAAAAAATAAAAATGCTTTTTAGTTGACTTATACATTTTATGAATAGAAATTTGCCTAAAGGTATAAAGAGATTTTTATCCGTGTATCCATTAGTTTTTAATTTAACTGAAAACTCCGCAAATCATAGAATCTCTAAACTGTCAAAAATTACTGTTTGAATCATTAAAGAAATTGCTGTCAATATCAGTAATTTATTTGTTTACATTTTTTACTGATATTTTCAGTATTTTTATTTCAGGATTTTGATGAACCAGTCAATAAATTAATCAAAAAACTTGATTAACTGGAAGTTAATGATTTTTTTCTTTGGTTCCATACGATGGGTAGGATTAAAATGATTCTATTTTTTACGATTTCTGTTTGGAGACTGCGGTTAACATGTTTAGCGCTTCCTGGTGGCTTGGACAGATGGTGACTCTCTTGTTGTGGTGGATTGCGTGTCCATGTCTGGAGGTCCACAACAGCCAATGTTTGTGAATGTTTTAGATTTAAAATCAGTGAAACATCTGGAAGTCGATGCAGGAGTGCATAAACTGTCCAATTTCGTTGCAGTTTCTGCACTCATGCGTTGGCTTCCAGAGATTTCCGAGGTCAAGTGCGCGATGTGTAACGGAGGAGGATAACGCAAGCAAGTTGACTTACTGGTGAGATCAGCAATTTTTTAATTTCATTTGATTACTGTCCAATAAAACAAAATATCTTGCAAAATATATACTGAAACCTCCGTATTCTATTTCACTGAGTTTAAGTCATTCACTTATGGAAAATTCAGTACTTGCTATTACCACAAACGAAATGACATGCTTGAAAACTTTGATGACGAACTACTACACTAATAAAATTCCACACATTTTTATTGACGAATTTCCATGTGAAATTCCACATGATTTTCATGTGACCACACATTAAAGGCCCAAACGCAATGTGGGCGGAAGCGGAACGGAAACGGAAAGTTTGACAGTTGTCACAAATGACATCAAGCTGCCTAACCGAAGTCGATTTGGTTCTAACTTGTTTTCAATCCGACAAATAGGCTTACTCAGATCGGGCTATTCCGCTGCCGCTGCCGTTCCGCTTCCGCTGTCATTGCGCTTGGGCCTTAACAGAATCCACCCAGAAGCACACATGAAATTTATGAGTCAAATGAATAGTATGTGTGGTTACACATGGCTTTTATGTGTACACATATTAAGTATGTGTCCGACACATAGATATCATTTGTTGATCACATTGCAAAAATTCATGTGTGGGACACATAAAAACAATCTTTGAAATTTTATCAGTGTACGAATTAAAACAAACATAGCGTAGTACCATAGAGGTAACTCTAAGACCACTGGGTTCCGAAGAAAATCATTATTATTTTTGGCTCACTCAGTACCAGAACAACGGTCCCAAGCAGTCCCAAGCTATTTCACTCACCCCTGCATGTTCTGCATGAATCCACACACCCCTGATGTTATCTGTCAAACTTTCATAGCGAATCAAAACAAACATAGTGTAGTAATAGAATCTCAACTAGAATAGGGTACGTTAATCATTTGCTTGGGACCAATAGGCTACTAAAGTGGTGAGCCAATTTAAAATCGTTAGTTTCGTATTGATTGTTGGTAGTACCACAAACGAAGTGACAGACGGAGCGGCTCGAAAACTTTGGTGACTAACCTGCTATTGCAATTTTTCAGTGTACCACATGGCAACACCACTACTACTGGATTGAACCACATGGCAACACTACTACCAACAATCAATACGAAACTAACGATTTTAAATTGGCTCACCACTTTAGTAGCCTATTGGTCCCAAGCAAACGATTAACGTACCCTATTCTAGTTGAAATTCTATTACTACACTATGTTTGTTTTGATTCGCTATGAAAGTTTGACAGATACCATCAGGGGTGTGTGGATTCATGCAGAACATGCAGGGGTGAGTGAAATAGCTTGGGACTGCTTGGGACCGTTGTTCTGGTACTGAGTGAGCCAAAAATAATAATGATTTTCTTCGGGACCCAGTGGTCTTAGCGTTACCTCTATGCTACTACTGGATTAAACTAGCATTTTCACCAAATGTACTAGAATGTTTTGGTTCTATGTCTTTCACTCTACTCAAAACTGAAATGCATAAAAAAATGACAAAATGATACGCTATTTGCACACTGTCAAAGAATCATTGTACACAAAATCAACTTTGTTCAAATCAAAACAAAAAAACTAACCCATCTGGTGGATGATGGCACAAGCTTCCAAGAAAATTCTATTACAGTGAACCACATTATTTTAATGGATTTCTTCGCCAGTTAGTCGTCTGTAACTTCGTTTGTGGTAGTACTAGAATTTCAACTAGAATGGGGTACGTTAATCGATTTGCTTGGGACCAATAGGCTAGTCAAGTAGTGAGCCAATTTTAAATCATTAGTTTCGTATAGAGAAATCCAACTTTAACTCATGCGCTCCTGGTGACTGGAATAAGCACTGCTGACGGTGATGAACTTCGTATCAACTGTCAAACGTAATACTTTTTGCAATTTGAGGCGATACAATATATTTTATTCGCGTTATGTTGGAGACTTTCGCCTTAGACCCATTAGCACCCGGTAGCAAATATGATAAGAAAAGTAGCGCTGGTCAGAATGATATGTAAGATACAATGTTTAAGCATAGAGGTAACTCTAAGACCACTGGGTCCCGAAGAAAATCATTATTATTTTTGGCTCACTCAGTACCAGAACCGAGGGGGACGACACATCTAGATCATCAACTTTTCTCTTGAAAACGTATAAATCTTAAATCAATATTTTCATCTGTTTCCATCTATGCCATCTACATCCACCGACTTCAACATCACTGCATCTACTTTCTCCCATTCCCATCTTTTCGCATCGCACGAACAAAACAGCAAAGCGAGCAGCAGGAAACTAGCGGTTTGTTTACGTTTTATTGTTTTTGAAAAGGAGTGCTTGATTTGCTCGAGAATTAAGTCTGATGTGCTAGTTTTCTAATACAGAAAGTTAATCAAACCTTTTCTCAAGTTTTTCGTTTGCTTATTCGTAAAGTGCGCTGTAGGTAAATCGTATGGATAAAAATGTAAGCAATTATATGTCTCGTGGAAGTGGAAAATCTCTAAGCCATCACATTACAGTTTCAATCCAGGATGCCTGCTAGTAGAAATGATGGAAAAGTAGTTCCGTCAGTGCAAAATGTTCTTACTATCAGAGGATGATTAAGACCTCGAGTGAAATCAGTTGAAACATGACCTCGGGAATGATGGCTGGGAGTTGCGGAAAGATCTGGGAAATGCAGTATTCATAAGTATTCGAACTGGAGTCGATATTGGCGATGGAAGTGAATTGAGAATTTAATTTACGAATATTTCAGCGAAGATGATCCACAAAAAACATCAGCAGAACTACTACTTAGATTCCAGTTGTAAAGTGAAATATTACCGGGATCCGATTCAGACGTCTACGAAACCGGAATCACAAATGTGCTTCGTTTGTGCCGGAATCATGATTCATATTTTGCTCTGCATTGTAACGCAGGATTTAAAATGCTGAAAATACTTTACATTTTTATTGTAGAATTCAACCCACAGACGGCAGAGGTAATGACGAAAGCTGGCGGTCAAGAGCTTATTGGAATCGCATTCTTGCTCATTTTGAAAGGCCGTGCCTTGAGGAACATTAATCAATTGTAAAAAACAATGTCCAGTCCTAGGTACTTTTACTGCTTTTACTTTATGTTTATAGATATTATGCTGTCGAAAATCGTTAAATTGAATTGATTTGATTTTAGTTCTGTTGTTTTTTTTTCCGGAGATCCACAAGCTGGAGCAATACTAAAGTAAATTAGCGGAGAAGACACAACATCTTGACATCGTGGTATGCTGGGGAACATCAGTGGAGCTAATCTGTCCCTATCAGTGTATGGAGTCGAAACAGTAGCCGTTTATCACACATGATGGTTGATCTGGAACCAACATCGAGAAGATTGTTCAATATTATGTATATTGCATTAAATGCTCCTTGTTTTTGTTTTCTTGTGACGAATAGTAAATAGCTACATGGCAAGGTAGTAGACCGTGAGATCTCAAACCATTATAAAGGGAATGCAATTCCAGTCTAAAGGTAGCTTCAGATGTTGTCTCTAAAAAAGAACGAAACTATAAGGCTTTTTGATTTGCACCAAAGTCTGATTAACCTTCATTCAGCCAACGTACCGGCCAAAAATTCGATAAAAAATGAGTTCCTGTTTTATTTTCCTACCAATGAGTATATATTTACAGATACAATATCCTAGTTTATATTCACGCATAAAGAATCGTTGAAGGACACACGTTTCTAGAGATAGTCCGGAATTTCTTGGGGTACTAACGTAAAATAGCGTACAAATCAAAATAAAAAAAAATCGTCCCATATATTTTACACGCCACGCCCTAATAGGAGTTTTCATTCCAGTCCTAAGAACAGGATAGATATACCGACTGTAACATTGGATGAGACAGTGCGTAGTATACTGACAAAACACGTATTGATTCGGCATCTAGTGGATTTTATCCATATCTTTACAAGGGAATTATCATAACATGAGCAGATGCTGGCAGTCGGATAAATTGGTTACCTATCAGTGGGGCACACAGTGCATCATTCTTCAATTTCAACTCGTTTGGTTTACCTGGCTTGAGAAATGCAGCAATACGAAGAAGGTGGACATTAATAGCAATTCTTTTTATTGCTATTTGATAATCAAAAGCTCGGAGCAAGTTAAATTAACGAGAGAGAAGATTGTTAGTTTTCGTTTGCAAGTGTGTTAAAAAAATCAAAACAAAAATACGATCGCACGGTTTGGAACGGCGCTGTCAGTTTACTATTTTTATCTATCTGATCTATCTACACTTCTACCTTTTGCATCTACTGCAGCATAAAAAATTGGATACAGCGAAAAGCAAAAGAGTGAAAACGAAAAAAAAACACTGATCTAAAAATAGGTACATCTTGTTTGCAATCGACTTGCCATTTTAGATGTGTCGCACCCCTCGACCAGAACAACGGTCCCAAGCAGTCCCAAGCTATTTCACTCACCCCTGCATGTTCTGCATGAATCCACACACCCCTGATGTTATCTGTCAAACTTTCATAGAGAATCAAAACAAACATAGTGTAGTAATAGAATTTCAACTAGAATAGGGTACGTTAATCGTTTGCTTGGGACCAATAGGCTACTAAAGTGGTGAGCCAATTTAAAAATCGTTAGTTTCGTATTGATTGTTGGTGCAACTTTATTATTAAATATCATTACAACCTGGTAAGTTGGTATTAATAGTTTTGTTTTTTTTTTTTTTTGAAATCTTACAATGGCAAGAATGTACTGGAGTACTTGGCGTAATAATTATGTTCTCTGAGCACAACGATATTTTTTTTCGATCCCATTTACTTCCATCTCAATTTTTAATCTTGATTGAAGCAAAATGATCAGTTCACTGTTTGACACAAAACTAACAAACTGACAGCTCGTTCCCATATTAAGTACCATCGAGGAACGCTAAGATGGTGATTTTTGCTAATGTAATCACACTTATTTAAAGTAGTTCCAGTGCTTCAAAATTGATGAAATTTTGAATTTCGATTCCATTTGTAATGCAGATTACGAACATGCAATTACCCCAATACCCCTAAAGAATCCAATTTAATTACCCGATTAATTAGTGTATTTCATCTGGTTTCATCAATTTCATAAGCCGATTTAACAGTTGACTTAATCTTTTCCATCATTCAAACAACTGAATGAACCGATTAACCATTCTATTTCATTTGGTTTCATCAATTTCGTATGCTGATTTATTTATCGCCTTAATCTGTTTCCATCGTAGAAACAATTTAATAAACTGATCAATAAGTATATTTCGTCTGGTTTCATAGAATCCCTGCTACAACTCTGTCATCCTATTAACCGTTCAATTTGGTCGCTTCTGGTTGACTGATTTCCTATGTTTTCGACTACCGATTTAGTGTGCTGACGTGTCGGCAGCCTCCCCTTAAGCAGTCCCATAAGAGTCGATGCAACAATTTATAAATACGTCGGTTTCATAGTCGGTCGATCTTACCGACGTGAACCGATTTAGTCGAAGGGAAAATCGGGAGGATTTTTTATGGGGCCGTTTGACAGAAAATCTGAAAGCTATCACCACTGCGACAGCAGCGCTGCGGTGGCCGGCATAAACTTGGATTTGTCAATTGATTGTTGTTTAAATGGTATGTGGTACTACGTTGGTACTACACTATGTTGACCTGTTCGGCGAACCCTGCCGTGTTGCAATTTTTTATCTGTCAAGCTTGGCAAAAAAAACACAAAAAGTACGTGTTTTGCGACGTCGCGGCTCCCTCTGATTTTTTCGACTAATAATTTTCCGCAAATTTCTTCAAAAAAAAAAAATTGTACCTACTAGATTCATACAATATCTCCATAATGACGAAGAAAAAGCCCATGGGTGAGTTGACCGTAAATTATTTCGTTAAATCACCATAACATGCCCGTTCTTCCATCGCGCAGGAGCTGGCTTGAGCCGCGACGAGCGAATGCTGATCGTGGTTGGTGAAATCATCCAGGAACTGCTGAAAGCGCACCATGAGGGAAAGGATGTAAATCTGAATCGGCTCAAGACGCGCCTGGCATCCAACTATGGTCTGGACAGTGCTCCCCGGCTGGTGGACATCATTGCCGCCGTACCGCACGAGGCCAAACCGATCCTCCTGCCGAAACTGAAGGCGAAACCCATCCGAACCGCCAGTGGGGTGAGTAGAGGAGAAATTCGCGTAAATACGGGGTTTTGTGTAATGGGATTTTTTTTGTATGGATTGTAGATTGCGGTCGTGGCGGTAATGTGCAAGCCTCACCGATGTCCTCACATCAACATGACCGGAAACATTTGCGTCTACTGCCCGGGTGGACCGGATAGTGATTTTGAATATTCTACACAGAGCTACACCGGATACGAGCCGACTTCCATGAGAGCAATTCGTGCCCGATATAATCCCTTTTTGCAGACGCGCCATCGAGTGGAACAGCTGAAGCAGCTCGGGCACTCGGTGGACAAGGTGGAATTCATCGTGATGGGTGGAACGTTTATGTGTTTGCCGGAGGATTATAGGGACTACTTTATCCGAAATTTGCATGATGCTCTGTCCGGGCATACAAGCTCCAGTGTTGAGGAAGCTGTGCGTTACTCGGAGAAGTCTCACACGAAATGTATTGGAATTACAATCGAAACCCGGCCGGATTATTGTTTGAAGCGGCATCTGTCGGATTTACTGGCGTACGGATGTACTCGGTTGGAGATCGGAGTTCAGTCGGTGTACGAGGATGTGGCTAGGGATACCAATCGAGGCCATACGGTGAAAGCAACCTGCGAAAGTTTTCAGATGTCGAAGGACGCGGGATTCAAGGTGGTGTCTCATATGATGCCGGATTTACCGAACGTTGACATCGAGAGGGACGTGGAGCAGTTTATTGAGTTCTTTGAAAATCCAGATTTTCGCGCCGATGGCTTGAAGATCTATCCAACGCTGGTGATTCGTGGTACGGGATTGTATGAATTGTGGAAAACGGGACGGTACAAGAGTTATCCGCCTTCGATGTTGGTCGATTTGGTGGCGAAGATCCTGGCGTTGGTACCTCCGTGGACTCGGGTCTATCGTGTACAGCGTGATATTCCGATGCCCTTAGTCAGTTCCGGCGTGGAACATGGTAATCTCCGAGAGTTGGCACTTGCCCGGATGAAGGATTTGGGCACGGATTGTCGGGATGTGCGAACCAGGGAGGTGGGAATCCAGGAGATTCACAACAAGGTTCGTCCTTACGAGATCGAGCTTATCCGGAGGGATTACGTGGCGAATGGCGGTTGGGAGACTTTCCTGTCGTACGAAGATCCGAAGCAGGACATATTGGTGGGTTTGTTGAGATTGCGCAAGTGCTCGCCGGATACATTCAGACCGGAGCTGGTGGACAATTGTTCGATAGTGAGAGAACTGCACGTCTACGGGTCGGTTGTGCCGGTGAACGCGAGGGATCCGACCAAGTTCCAGCATCAGGGTTTCGGAATGTTGCTGATGGAGGAAGCGGAAAGGATTTCTCGGGAGGAGCACGGAAGCAGCAAGCTGGCGGTTATTTCCGGGGTCGGAACGAGAAACTACTATCGCAAGATGGGATACGAGCTGGATGGGCCGTACATGTCCAAGATGTTGGTTTAAGGTAAGTTGAAGAAGTCTCTGAATTGTTACATGTGAAATATTAGTGAAGAGTACCCAATTCCGTCGGTTTTCGGAAATAGCAGCAAAAAGAAAGCCACTTCTTTTACGGTCACTTTATATTTAAATGATTTATTTTGGAAATTTTATACCCACAAATTTCGTTCGAGCCATTCGGTTTCGAACCCCACGCCGCTGCGGCGAGAGTATTTTGGTACGTTTTCAGCTAGGAATGAGTCACAGATTGTAGCCATGATAATCTATAAATACAATTATTAAAAAAAATTCGCTAAGTTTTGCTGTCCGGCTGCTCGTCCGTCTTCCGGCTGTGTGATGCACAAGTTTTAAACGATCGCTTCGGCGCTTCCGAAGATCGTAAAAACGAACCAACCGACGGTGTTGATGGCCGCCGCCGTGCTAAAAACGGCCGACCAGCTTTGCGTAAGCTCGAGGATGTGCCCGGCCAGGTAGACTCCTAGGAATCCGGGAATAGCCCCGACGGTATTCATCAGGCCGAATACGCTGCCCGAATGGCTTGGTGCCAGGTCCTGTGGGTTGACGGTCACGGCGTTGTTGTGGAATCCGGACAGACCTGTTGGGTGAAAGTTTAAAATGAGCATTGCAATGAGTTCTTTTTTAGACTCGACCCCCTCCGATTAGCATGAAACGTAGCATGAACAATCAATAATTGATTATTGTTTGCGCTGAAATTTCTCAAATTTTTCAAAATGGTGTTCGATGTTTTTTGGTTTCGAGTGTCCGTAGGAGGCAATTAAAAAAAATAAAACGAATTAAAACGATTCTTTTAATTTGGGAAATAATGCGTCGAAAATAGACTTTTGAAACTCACATTTTTTTTATTCCAGCCTCTTCCTTAAAGAAGTTTTAACAATTTTAACCACAAATGAGGAAAAAGTGCATAAACTTGCTAAGGACTTTGAGAGTGCTCATAATTTCAGTTTGGGTTTTACTAGTTCTATTGAGAATCAGTCCCCACCTCACGCCTCCACGAGTCATATGATTACAAACGATTACCAGCTGAAATATGGACACAGCTGGGTGGCGTAGCCTGGGCAATGTTGTAAATCCGACAATAGCAAAGTGAGGAGATGCGAAGCGAACACTGGCGCGGTAACCATAGCACGGTGGTAGAGGAAATGCTTCGCCTCCGAGCGTCTGTCCACCACGGAGGTGCGGCTCAAAAAGCTTCTGACTTGCATCCATCGGCTCCATCTTCACCTAAGATGGCAGTCTCATCAGAGGATAGGAGACCTTAGGCCAACCACCTTCAAGAAGGCCAACAATAGACAAGACGGAAGATGATTATCAGTTAGGTAAGTTACTTCATCATCAAGGGTAAGTCACCGTACATATGTATATGTATATACTTTCGCATAGCATATGCATTTAAAGCATAATATTATAACACATATGACCAATTTCTTTAGAGGAATAGCCAGGCTTGCTAATTGTCACGATCATCGACACACTTTTGTATACATTTGTGTCCTGTCATTGGTGAAAATTTCGACAGTTATACCATAAAATGAAATATGACATGACATTGCTTTCCATTATTCATTAGACGAATAGGAATAGCTTTTCACCCAGTTTTTGCAAAATATTCTTGTATCATACTGGACGACAAAACATACCTGTTCGAAGACTTTCAACAGCTTATTTTTAGCAAAATTGAATTTTGGGCAAAATTATTTTTAGCGTTCAGAATCATAAGGGCTTAACTGCGATGATTGATTTTCTTCATCGATTTTGCATTTGCATTACTACAGTTTAGTGGACCAATTTTCCAGTATCATAGAGGTAACTCTAAGACCAGAAGGTCCCGAAGAAACGTGCTCAACTTTTTGGCTTAGCTCTGGTACTCTCTTCGGTCCCAAGCTAATCGATGCACTCCTCGAAACATAGGAAAATCTACGACCCACTCATTTTGTCTGTCTAGCATCTTTAGCGGTGGTCTGATCTAGATCCAAATTTATGTCACATTTGAGCCAGCTAAAATGAAATAGAAATAGATTAAGCCAAATCAAGCCAGGCCGTTCTATTTCAAATGTCATACAAAACATATATTCCTGGGCTTGTTTGACCACCATCCTTTTCAGCTTCGATTTGCTATCGTTAGCCAGGTATTGATCAACCTCGTGTATTGTTTGGAAACTGTCTTAATTGGAGATACCACGAATTCTATTGCTAATGGTTCACTGTTCGACTGTGTGCCAGTCGGAGAAACTGCTCAACTATCATCCGAGGGAGAATCATCTTCCACTGGTTGGTGGCTGTTGCCTGAAACTCCAGGATTGTGGCATAGCTCGACTCTTGATCCAACGTCGTTTGAGCGATTTTGAATGGTTCCGTACGACACCTTCAAAATCGAGTTGTTTGTAGCCGTCGCACCAAAATAATAATATAATCTCTCGACCGTAATAACGCTGCTGTTGCTACTACTAATTTTCAATTCTCACTCGATACCGTGCAGAAATACATCCAATGCAACAGTAATCGATTCTCAATCGCTTTCAGTGGAACCATTTTTAAAGCCGGAATCTGCGATTGTTATCTTTCTCGACCGTGGTCTCCCAAAAGCTTTCCACTTTTGCAGGATTGGTTAAAATTTGACAGATGGAAAGTTATCGATTAACCCTGCTATCAGAGCGTGGTTACTTCTGACAGACAAGAAGTTAAATTTTGACAACTGTGGCTGAGTTTTTCTCGAAAACCGATCGATCGACAGCACAGGGATTTCGAACATAGAAAATAACTTTCGAAATGTCATTTTTAACCATGAGTTAAATTTAATTCGTGGTTAAAAGTGACATTTCGAAAGTTATTTTCTATGTTCGAAAGTCCCCGTGCTGTCGATCGACCGGTTTTCGAGCTACGGTTGTCAAAGTTTAACTTCTTGTCTGTCAGAAATAACCATGCTCGGATAGCAGGGTTAATCAATAACTTTCCATCTGTCAAATTTTAACCAAAAGTTAAAAAAATTCGCCAAATAATGGTTCAGAGCCTAAGAAAAACAGAGCAAAACAAAACCTACAAAACTGATGCATCACTCGTGTCACTCCTTGCAGCTGTCAAAGTGGTTTGAAACAATGGTTTGCATGTTCCAAAATCAGTCGAAATCAGACCGAGAATTGACCACTTTGTCAAGCAGTTTTGGTGTGAATTTCTACCAGCGATTTCCAACGAAATAGGGTTAACTACCCCATTTCCGGCCTATTAAGCACAACCCGCACTTAGTCTTTCTTAATCTAGCGCAGTTTAGCACCAAACGGAATGTTATTATTACTGATGGCTTTCAAATTTATTTACCTTTCCGTAAAGAGAAACCAATCGTTCAGATATTGTCAAAAGTCTAACACTACTTCTTGACTTCAAACTCGGCCTACGGATTCTGAATTCGGCCTAATGCATTGAAACCCCATTAAAACGCCAATGAATTCACTTCGGCCTATCGGATGAAGATAAAAATTGATTCGGTCGGAGCGCTTCTTTTGTTTTTAGGAATAATGGGTGTAAACCTTCATATCACGCGTTCTCATTGACTTCGTTTGGTAGCTTATTAACTAAATTATCGTACCAAACGCATAATTGACTCATTTGTTTACTCTGAAATCATGGATTTATTTGAAGTTTTCTACTCGATAGGCCCAAAATGGGCGATTAGGCCGAAGTAGTTCTCTACCCTACCAACTCATTTCTATTTTTTTATGAAACGCACAAATGTTGGCTACTTTTCTCGTAATTCTAGAAGAAAAAATCTCAAAATAATGTTTTACTTCAAAGTTCGAGTGGTAGTAAACGTCATTTTAACTGCTAGAATGAAATGGTTAATTATGCGGGTTTAAAAAAAAATACATTTGGAACTAGTAGGTATAAAACAAAATTCAGGTGCAAGGGCTTGGTCTGGATCTGTTCGAAAAATTTAGATCAAATAGGCCAATTGGATCACCGCTAAAGATGCCCTTAGTTTCCACCGGTTGGTGGTTTAAGACTGTGAACCATTTGCCGAGTTAAATTTATCTCGTGGTTAAAGTGACATTTCGAAAGTTATTTCTTATGTTCGAAAATCCCTGTGTTACCGATCGATCGGTTTTCGAGCAGAACTCAGCCACGGTTGTCAAAATTTAACTTCTTGTATGTCAGAAATAACCATGCTCGGATAGCAGGGTTAATCGATAATTTTCCATCTGTCAAATTTTAACCAAAAGTTAAAATAATCCACCAGCTGAGTAATTAGTAAAAGAGAACGTCGATGATGCAAATCGATCATCGCAGCTAGGCCCTTATGATTCTGAACGCTAGATTTAACTGATGTTGGCATTTGGTATTCTTTCCTGATAAATGGAAAAATGCCAAATTTGTTCCAATTTTGAAGCCGGGGAAAAATTCTGCTGAAGCTTTTTTATACTTTTTGAGAAGATAATTTTGAATAGAATGATGCTTCACATCAATACGAACTCATTTTGTGCAGATGAGCAGTTTGGCTTTCGCTCTTTAGGATTCATTTACGCATTAACTCTTAAAATTTACTAATTTAATTTGTTCAAACAAATCTGAAGGCTGCTCAACTGGAGTTGCTCTTCTAGAGATAGGAAAAGCAACTTTACAGCTTTTAAGACAAAACATGGGATCAATTTAAACCAGTTTTTATATTAAATTAGGTGGTTTATCAGTGTCCTGTCATTCGACATCGCGAAGAGTAACTATCCTTTCACATGACATGTAAAAAAATATCAATATTACATGTTAAGAATTATCCCGAATTTATTTTTAAACATATCAGGAAATTTCCTTAGAACTCTACTTGTAATTCCTTTGCAACTGTTATGAGAAATAGATTCCTTTCAAATTATTGACACAGATTTATTCTTGCTAAATATAATGCTTCTTTCATAAGAAAGTCCTAACGCCACCTGAACGGCGTGATCTGGAACTAAACTTATTATGTCAAAAGATAGTCCTTATCCACCCGAACAACTTTGTCGAAGACTCCACACCTCTAGGACGCATGGGTGGAGCGCTACGATTTTGGTCCAACCCAAGTACGATTCTGCCCCAGTGTGAGACGTAGATGCTATAAGCAAATTGCCATTTCCCATTTGCTTTATGTTGTTCCTCAGAAACTTATGGCGCTAAGCTCAAACCGGTATTATCCTCGGATTAAATCCCGACCAAGAATGTCCCACTACGTTGATGTCGACATTAGAGTTAATCAACCCGACTCCAAGTTGGAGCTTACCGCCATTAGTAATTTTCGAAAATTACTTGTCACTGTTATCGATGATTTTACCAAAGTTTCTGTAACGATGAGCTGCACATTCTTTTTGGATTCGATTATTTAGTGACGTAACAATCATTTCAATAAGCAAAAAGTGCCCATTTGTTGCAACCTGTCGTCATCGCACTTACCGATAATAATTGACATACACGCCAGGGCAATGTTGAACTGCTCCGTGTGACACATGGTGAACAGGGCCACGTTCTGGCCGAGGAAGCAAAAACTCTGCACCAGCTTCCTGATTCTCGTCAGAGGCCATTGTCGGGAGATCAATGCTTCGGTGAATGCTTTCCCCAGAATGGTAACGGGTGGCAGTGCCAGCCAGGGAATCATATTTACCACCCAGCCCTAAAATAAACGATTAGGTACCAAAGAACTCATTTTTAACCGTTTCAGAACTCTGTGGCTCTTACCTTAGCATGGGGGAAATTTTCGTGGAAATACGTCGGCAGCCAGGATAGCAGCACGAAGAAACAGTTCATCTCGCATGCATGCGCCAGGACGCACGCCCAGAAGGAAGTCCTACCGAATAGCTTCAACCAAGGGACGGTTTCCGAATGACCCAGTTTAGAGCATATTCTGCTCGGTTGGGAAAGGTTGATGATCCTGCTGCGATCGGTGGCCATCGTGTAGTAGCGCAGAAACAGCGTCCACGAGAGCCCCAGGAATCCGATCACCCGGAACACAGTTGGCCAACCGAAGTAGTCCAAAATGAATGACCCCAGGATGCCGGTCAGCAACGTACCCAGTGCCGATCCGGACGTCAGAATGCTGAAGAAGCTTGTCCGCTCGGTTGCACTTAGATTTTGACTAGTGATGCTTATCATGCTGGGAAAGTGTACTCCCTGGCAGGCTCCGTTGGCGATCCGTACGGCGACGATAAACGGAATTGAATAGGTGGACAGGTACGATGCCGATGTGATGATGTTGGGCATCCAGAATGTAATCAGGGACCAGCCGATGGCGGACAGTAATATTACCTTCTGTCCTCCAAATTTGTCACTCAGGTAACCTCCGAGCACTTGGGTCAAAGTGTAACCCCAGAAGAAGGAACTCAGTACGGTCCCAGAATCCGTTTTGCTCCACTTTCGTTCTGATGCCACAGCCGGAACCAGTAGGGGCATGGTCGTTCGCGTCGAGTACAACATGCATGTTCCGGCCAGAAGCGTCAGGAACCAAGTGCGTTTTTCATTTCTTAAACGAAAGAAATACACAAATTACACATCGACTCATTCAAACAATTCACTGCCACTTACCTGGTCCATATACTCTGGCTGTCGGTCATGTCTCGCAGTAGCGAGTACTTGAGCTTTTCCTCCATCGGGGTTGGCTTGACCATCTTTTTTCCTTTTTTCTCGCTTTTTTTTTAACACATCCAATCAGTTTTTAAGCCGTTCCTAAATTCTTCATCGTTGAAGCGTAAACTTATTCGCGACGCCACCTCTACGATATAATTGTAATGAACTGTATTCTCTATAGTATAGGATATTGTTATAAATTTAAACGCCAACCAGACAACTGCTGTTATTTTTTTTTCTCATGCAGCTACGGTGAATGTTTTCCTTTCGAGAGAGCACTGCTGCGTCGTCTAGTAGGTAATTCGCAACAGCACCCGTGTAGTTGGAGCATCACAGAGAAAGCATTCGGTGTTTTTTCGATATACACCATCAAGGACTGTCAAATCAGCTGTCGGGATGACAATCTCTACCAATGACGTTTATATAAGGTCCGGGCCAACAGGCTTATTAATGTTATGTCGTTTTCGTTTTTGCGGTGTAGCTACACCGGTGCTACACTGCCGTACACCGAAATATTTTAGGGTGTAGATATAGAAATCACCTTTGTTTACAAACAAATGATGTTGAGCTGTCAAAGACTCGCGCTTATTCCTGCTTACACCGCAAAAACGAAAACGACATTAGTGAAAAAAATGTGCAAATGTTTAGGGGTGTTCGTATTTCATTGCAATGTTTATCTTTTTACATGAAACAGCTGTTGGCAGTGGCGTAAATCTCACTGTTCGCAGTAGGGAATGTCACTTGAGTGCTCAGTAATGTTTACAATCACCCCTATTCTGTATTTCGTTTCGAACGAAATTCTCATACAAAAAAATATTTTTTTGTATGAGAATTTCGTTCGAAACGAAATACAGAATAGGGGTGAATATTTTTGTTTCTAACACCAGCAAACTGCCTGTTGGTCTGGACTTTATATAAAGGACATTGAATCTCTACCCCGTCAGGAGTACACTCTCAACGGTGCGAGAACGAATTCAGGATTAAAATACGTCCCTCCAGGGGTTCTCAACGCGAACGCTATTTAAAGCCTTTAAGCTTATGATTGTTGTGAAGGTGTGATCATGGAGATATCCAAATGTATACACACAAGCAAAAGAACGTATGAATTCCATAAGAAACACCAAAGAATTTTAACCACAAGGAATCAGCGCTTTTGGATTCTCCTTACAATTCACCTGTAGTGTTCCTCAGAAATCCTTTGGAATTCTATTTATAATTACTTTGGAATTCTATTCATGTATTTTACTTTTATCTTGATATTTATTTCTCATGTTTAAAAGCTACGAGATTTTAGTTCTAGTAAAAATTATCCGTTTTAAACATGTAGGACAACAAACACGCTTTGGTTGCAAAAATGTTAGCCGATGCAGTCAAAGAGCATAAAAGTATTTTAAGAAGAACTTGAAAAATTGTAAATGTCATGTTTCAGGAACTTGGTCTTATCCCGAGAACTAAAAAAATTTCCTGCTCTTTATATTTTGCTCTAGTTCTTGTCTTGTAAAAGTCAACATGTCTTGTCTCCAGATTTTTGAAAGTCCCAGTTTTGGAATTTTTTGATTATCACCCCTATTCTGTATTTCGTTTCGAACGAAATTCTCATACAAAAAAATATTTTTTTTTGTATGAGAATTTCGTTCGAAACGAAATACAGAATAGATTTTTTTTTATCCAGATCATGAAAACTTCACTGTAATTTGTAATATTCAGAAATTAAAAAAGCAATACCTTGTACTGAACAACATTTCAGAATTTAAGATCCAAATTCCATATATTCAACATTCAAAATCACACCTAGGCGTATTCTGCGCGGCGTGTGAGGTGAGGTGACAGTGAAGTGACAATTGTCACCTCGGGTGAGGTGACTCTCCATTTGATTTGCATAGAGACTCACCTCACCCGAGGTGACAATTGTCACTTCACTGTCACCTCACCTCACACGCCGCGCAGAATAGGCCTAACCAATTCTTTTGTGTCCTAAGGGAACGACTATCATTCGAATGAAGTTACAATTAATTTAGTCAGTGAAGCAATAAATAAAAATCAGACAATAAAGTCACAAAAATGTTATTAAAGGGTGATACGGTCAAAATTTGGTCAATATCAACTTGACGTATTTCTTTCAATTTTGCATTTAAAAAACCTGAACACCCCTCATTTTGAAGGTGTGTGTGTAGAATGTTGCTTCTATTTTGATTTTGGAATTCACTCTTCAGTTGTCAAAATGCCGTCCAAGCAAGAAGAGCAGCGTATCAAAATTTTGCTCGCGCATCGCGAAAATCCGAGCTACTCGCACGCAAAGTTGGCAAAATCGCTAAAAGTTGCCAAATCAACCGTTACAAATGTAATTAAAGTGTTTGGGGAACGTTTGTCGACAGCCAGGAAGTCTGGATCGGGGAAATCGAAAACCGGAAGCCGCTGAGACGACAAAGAGAGTTGCCGGTAGTTTCAAGCGAAACCCTAACCTATCTCTCCGAGATGCCGCAAATAAGCTGGGTGTATCGTCTACAACCGTGCATCGAGCCGGACTATCGACTTACAAGAAGGTAGTGACTCCAAATCGCGATGATAAACAAAATACGACGGCCAAAGCGCGATCCCGGAGGCTGTACACGACGATGCTGACGAAGTTTGACTGCGTGGTAATAGACGACGAAACCTACGTCAAAGCCGACTACAAGCAGCTTCCGGGACAGGAGTTTTGTACGGCAAAAGGAAGGGGAAAGGTAGCAGATGTTTTCAAGCACATGAAACTGTCAAAGTTCGCAAAGAAATATCTGGTTTGGCAAGCCATCTGTACCTGTGGCTTGAAAAGCAGCATTTTCATAGCTTCCGGGACTGTCAACCAAGAAATTTACGTGAAAGAGTGTTTGAATAAACGTCTGCTGCCTTTCCTGAAGAAACACGGTTGTTCCGTACTGTTTTGGCCGGATTTGGCATCTTGCCATTACGGTAAAAAGGCCATGGAGTGGTACGCCGCCAACAACGTGCAGGTGGTTCCCAAGGACAAGAACCCTCCCAACACGCCAGAGCTCCGCCCAATTGAGAAATACTGGGCTATTGTCAAGCGGAACCTAAAGAAGACCAAACAAACTGCTAAGGGCGAGCAGCAGTTCAAGGCAAACTGGCTTTCTGCGGCGAAGAAGGTGGACAAGGTGGCTGTACAAAATCTGATGGCAGGGGTCAAGCGTAAGGCCCGGCAATTCGGATTTGGAAAAAGCGGAAGCCTAACTGAATATTTTTCCTGAATTTTATACTAATTGAACTTGAAAAAGAAATTTAATTTGATTTTTTAAATAAACGATTTCACCGATTTACACGCGTTTTCCCTTGACCAAATTTTGACCGTATCACCCTTTATTGGTTAAATGACGGCGTCGGCAGGCAGTGACTGTTTTCGACAACCAAAAATGTGACAAGAACCGATAATTCTTCGGAATTCGGATGGTTTATAAGTCACGAACATTCCACCAACTACAGTGCAACTACCATAACACGACAAAAGATGACAGCATTTTTTTAATTCATGTATTTCCGTTAACTCCAATCAACGATAACTTAACCCATTAGAAGTGCTTTGGGAACATTCAACCCATCGACGAAGTTATCGTACTGCAAGTATTGCTCCCGCAGTTGGCTGGAGACCGTTTTGTACGCGTTCCCCAATAGCCATAGCATTTCTCTACACAATTCATCATAACCGTTTTCGTCGTACAGATTGAAAATATGACTAAACTTAAGATGCAGCATCTGGCATTCCTGCAGTAGCAATTCTGCATTGCTATCATTCTTGGCCAGCAGGTTGGCTAAGATTCGAATGCTTAGCAGAATTCCGAGATGATTCTCCGTGTTCTCATGGGAAGTTGATGCCAAAAAATTTAAACAGCGCTCAATTATCTGAGGGGCTGTTGATGGATCCAGTGTTTCGAAGTTTGTAAGTGTAAGGCCTTGGTAAAACAATTTCAAAGTTCCAGTTTGAGGGGGTTTCGTGGTTGTTAGAGGTAGTAGGTTGGCCAGTATATGTTCCTTGCTGCAATATGTGGAATCGGTACACAAATTGTTGCAAATCTTGTTAATGTCTGACTTACCTTATAAATTGATCGTCGTAATCTAATATCAAGCTAATAGCTAATAGGATTTCTGTGAGTAGTTCGCTGTCTTCAGTTACATCAAATAGATGACCCAAAGAAGCCGTAACTCCCTGTGAATGCAGAATTTGCATAGATTTCTTCCCGGATGAGATGATGTTCTGTATCGTCCATACACAAAGATGCTGCAAAATAGAATAACGTTTTGAGCTTCAAGTTAGATATCAATTTATCCCGCCATACTGACATTCAATCGCCTGTTGTTCACATTCTCCATAAATGTGATCAGATACGTTCCAGCAAAGTTGGCCACCTTCTCACAGCAAACATCATCACCGAGGGTCAAATTACACAGGCACTCCCCGGCCAGTAGCTGCAAGTCCGAATCGTGACCGGTAAACTCCTTAACCAGTACATTGATGGCACCGGTTATTCTAACGAATTCGGAAATGTTCTCCGCACTTTGCTGGAATCCGTAGCTGAGTTTGACCAAATCCTTTGTATCGGCATGCTTGCGACGTTTGATCCTGGACGCAAGGCCCTTGATCTCCTGAGCGGTGACGTTTTCGATTTGTTGAACCTCCTGCAGCAGTTCTCCGAGACCGGCACGGTTCACGTCCAGTTCGGCCTTTCGCTGTCGCTGTCTATCCCAGCGGGTCTCCGTTCGTAGCAGTTCACGGTGTCTCGGTTCCGGATTAGCGGCCATTATGAAGGGACCGATTGTATTACCTGAAGGCTTGTAGTTGGGTAAATTATATCATGCACAATTTTTATTGAATACAATTTAATCTGTTTGTTGTTACAAACTGTATTTATAAACAGTTTGCTCGCATAAACACATGGTTACATGAAATTTGAGCACAACTTGTATGCAACCGCTATCCTACACGCTACGCTAATATTAACTAAATTACCCATAAATACAGGAATGGCTCATATGCCAACGATATCATACTTTTGGAAATGCTTCACTGGGTAAATTGACGAGTGCACGGATGGATTTGAGTTCACTCACTCGACAAAAAGTGACACAACAGCGGGGCCCTGTTTACTAAAAATGAACACATATATGTTCATTTTTAGTAAACAGGGCCCCGCTGTTGTGTCACTTTTTGTCGAGTGAGTGAACTCAAATCCATCCGTGCACTCGTCAATTGGGTTCTTTAGGGGTTTTAACACCGACAAACCGACATGTGTGTGTGTGTGTCATCCTCTATCCCTCACCCAGCCGGGGGCGTTGGACAAGTAGAACTGCGAATAATTTGATCAAATCTCATGCTCCGTAATGGTGCCCTTTATGTTGTGAAGACTAGTACTTCAAAAAGGGTAACTTTTGAGGCAAGACAGGGTGTCCTCAACAAGTTAAGGGAACAGGATGCACTAGATGTCCACAACAGGTACAGCAAAACATCACATAGACGCCCTTATTCACACTAACTACTCAGGGGGTAGAAGGTCAAGAAGAGCCACCGCCGCCAACTAAAGCTTGAACCGGGTACCTGGGACTCCCACGATATACCCGCGGCAATGGTCAGCAGACGATGCCCTGTGCGTATTTAGTATGTAATATGTTTTATTTGGATACACAAAATGTTTGAAGCCATGCGTCATCTAAACCATAATTTGCATCACCACAAATACACTTGTCAACAATCTTCAACTGGAACGTTCTCACCAAATCACTTCACCCGGAAGCGCATTCCCAATGCTTCCACGCATTTTTTTTTCTTATTTTTTCTTTTCTTTTTTTTCTCTTTTTTCTTCTTTTCTTTTCCCTCCACTCCAACCACACAACACCAAATATCACTTTTCTTCACTTTTCTTTTTCAAGTCACTCCGTGCACAAAAGCAATGCACATCTCAAAACCCTGACAATTTTTTTTTTTTTTTAACTTTTTATTTGTTCCAAATTCAAAATAAATTACATTTCATTTTAACCTAGGTACTCCAGTTACTGCAGTAACGTACCAGCCTTAATTGTTATGATATATATCTAAGTGTTTTTACATTGTTCATGTCTTGGCAATTCAGTATTTTAAACAGGTTTTTTAACCTGCATGTCAGTATAACAATTGATATCTTAAAACTAAAAACTAAAACTAAATCTTATCTAAGTATAAAGGGAATTAATCGTTGCAATTGAGGATTGCAACGATTTTTGCCTGAAATTATTAATTATTTTGTTGGACATTTGTTCTAAAGTCTCAACATTCGAAATTCTATGTACTTCGGTAGTACTGTACCAGGAAGGCAACTTCAAAATCATTTTCAGAACTTTGTTCTGAATCCTTTGAAGTGCTTTTTTCCTGGTAGTGCAACAACAAGACCATATTGGCACAGCGTAAAGCATGGCCGGTCTAAAAACTTGTTTAAATATTAGAAGTTTATTCGTCAGGCAAAGTTTGGATTTCCTGTTTATAAGAGGATACAAACATTTAATATATTTGTTACATTTAGCTTGAATGCCCTCAATGTGATCCTTAAAAGTTAATTTTTGGTCAAGTATTAATCCAAGATATTTCACTTGGTTTGACCAGGAAATTGGAACTCCTTTCATAGTGACTATGTGACTACTACTAGGTTTCAAAAAGGAAGCTCTAGGCTTATGTGGAAATATTATAAGTTGAGTTTTGGAAGCGTTGGGAGAAATCTTCCATTTTTGTAAATAAGAAGAGAAAATATCTAAACTTTTCTGCAGTCTGCTGCAAATAACACGAAGACTTCTTCCTTTAGCGGAAATGCCTGTGTCATCAGCGAACAAAGATTTGTGGCAACCCTGAGGCAAATCAGGGAGGTCCGAAGTGAAAATGTTATACAATATAGGCCCAAGAATGCTACCCTGAGGAACTCCTGCTCTAACAGGTAGTCGATTAGATTTGGAATTTTGATAATTTACCTGCAGAGTTCTGTCAGTTAAATAATTTTGAACTAATTTCATAATATAAAGTGGAAAATTAAACTTTTTCAATTTAGCAATCAAACCTTCATGCCAAACACTGTCGAATGCTTTTTCTATGTCTAGAAGAGCAACTCCAGTTGAGTGGCCTTCCGATTTGTTTGAACGAATTAAATTGGTAACTCTTAAGAGTTGATGAGTAGTTGAATGCCCATGGCGAAATCCAAACTGCTCATCTGCAAAAATTGAGTTCGTATTGATGTGAAGCATCATTCTATTCAAAATTATCTTTTCAAAAAGTTTACTTATTGAAGAAAGCAAACTTCTTGGGCGGTAGCTAGAAGCTTCAGCTGGATTTTTATCCGGCTTCAAAATTGGAACAACTTTTGCATTTTTCCATTTATCAGGAAAGTATGCCAAATGGAAACATCTGTTAAATAATTTTACCAAGAAAGACAAGGAACTCTCTGGGAGTTTTTTGATGAGGATATAGAAAATTCCATCATCACCTGGAGCTTTCATATTTTGAAACTTTTTAGTTATAGACCTTACTTCGTCCAAATCAGTCCCCCAGGAATCATCAAAAATATTTTCCCGAGAGAAAATATTCAGAAAATCCCGAGCAACCTGATTCTCAATAGGACTAGTAAGACCAAAACTGAAATTATGGGAACTCTCGAATTGCTTAGCAAGTTTCTGAGCTTTTTCCAAATTTGTGATCAAAATTTTACCACCTTCTTTAAGCGCTGGAATAGGCTTTTGAGGTTTTTTTCAAAATTTTTGTGAGTTTCCAAAAGGGTTTGGAACTCAGGTCTAATTTAGAAATATTATTTTCAAAAGTTTTGTTCCTCAGGGCAGAGAATCGCTTTTTAATTTGTTTTTGCAAATCCCGCCAGATAACCTTCATGGCAGGATCGCGTGTTCTTTGATATTGTCTCCTACGGACATTTTTAAGACGGATCAAGAGCTGAAGATCGTCGTCTATTATAATTGAATCGAATTTATCCTCGCATTTTGGTACTGAGGCTGCTCTTGCTGCAACTATAGAAGTAGTCAGAGATTCAAGAGCATAATTAATTTCGTCTTTGGTTTGCAAAGGAATGTTTGGATCGAAGTTATATTCCATAAATGTTCGATACTGCTCCCAATCAGCTCTATGGTAATTGAAAGTAGAGCTGTTGGGATTACAAATTATTTCTTGGGATATTTCAAAAGTTACTGGAAGGTGATCAGAACCGAAGTCAGCATGGGTAACCAGTTGGCTACAAAGTTGACATGAATCAGTTAAGACCAAATCAATAGTTGAGGGATTTCTTGCAGAAGAAAAGCATGTTGGACTGTTTGGATATTGAATAGTGTATTAACCTGCAGAACAATCATCAAATAGAATATTACCATTGGAATTGCTTTGAGCATTATTCCATGAGCGGTGTTTTGCATTAAAATCACCAATAATGAAGAATTTAGACCTATGACGGGTAAGTTTCTGGAGGTCACCCTTGAGAAAATTCTTTTTCTGGCCTACACATTGGAATGGCAAATAGGCAGCTATAAACGTAAGTTGTCCAAATTTTGTTTCAACAGAAACTCCCAAAGTTTCAAAAACTTTGGTTTCAAATGAAGAAAGAATTTTATGTTTGATTCGTCTATGAATAATGATGGCAACGCCACCACAGGGTCCATCAAGACGATCATTTCTATAAATCAAGTAATTTGCGTCCTTCTTAACCTTATGGTCAGGTTTAAGGAACGTTTCAGTTATAACGGCAATATGCACGTTATGAACTCTCAAAAAGTTAAATAGCTCGGCTTCATTATCTTTAAGAGATCGAGCATTCCAATTTATAATATTTAATGCTTTAAAATCCATTACTGAATTTTAAAGTCATGACAATATTATTTGCAAATTTTACTCCAGTTTGAATAGCATCAAACATGGAGTTAGATTTAAGCATATCAGAAATCATGTCAATTAATGATTTCTGTAAAAATTCCATTTTAGGGGCAGTAATGCTTCCTAAGTCAAAATTGTCAAAATTTCCGTTAGAATTACTTTGGTTAGTATTTTGATTTCTACCCGCTGCAATAGCAGCATAGGTAGCTCCATTAACTCGCTGAACATTGTTAGCAGCGAGGGGAGTAGGTACAGATGAAACATTTGAAGCAGGGGTGATATTTGTACCTACGGGTACGAATGTAGAATTTGTTTGTTCCTCGCTGACCGTTGTTAAAGCAGAGGAATTTGTACCTGGTCGGAAACGTGGAGCGTTTCCTACCTGTCGGTTAGAACAAGATTGTAGGATCGCTTTGCGAGTCTTACATTCCCAAAAATTGGATTTGTGGTTTTCACCACAATTTGAACATTTAAATTTCTTAGGATCTTCCTTCACAGGACAGTCGTCCTTTGCGTGAGAGGAATCACCACAATTCATGCATTTAGCTGGCATGTAGCAATTTTTAGTTCCGTGACCCCATCCCTGGCACTTACGGCACTGAGTGAGGTTTTGGAAATTTCCTCGGACATGGAGCATAAGGCTAGCTTTTTCTAAGGCTTAAGGTTGTTTAGTTCACTAGACTTGAAGTGAACTAAATAAAAATCATTAGAAATCCCGTTGCGCGAATCGCCAGGACGGGATTTCATTTTCATTTTGATTACTTGGAGTGGCACAACACCAAGTAATTTTGCCAGTTCATCTTTGATCTGATCCAGGGATTCACCACTGGGCAGTCCTTTCATGACAACCTTGAACACACGTTCAGTTTTGGTGTCGTAAGTAAAAAAATTGTGCTTCTTCTCAGTAAGATACTTGAGACGACATTTAAATCCGTCCAAGGTTTCAGCCAATACACGGCATTCACCCCGACGTCCAATTTGTAGTG